GTGCGTGGGGAGGGGTGGTCTGGTGAGGGACGGTGGGAATAGTGGTGATACCATGTGGGGCTTTTCTGGGGATTGCAAAGTGAGGTGTGTTATTGTTATTATTTATGGATTTTTATTTATTATCAGGGTCAGAAAGGGGGCTTTTCTTAACAGTGCCATCCTTCCTGGGAGTGCCAACTCACTTCCCACCAAAAAAAACCCCGCATTGGTGACTTAGCTCGTGGGGGAAATGGGCAAGCGCACGACCCCCAGCTCAGGGTGCAAGGAGGGAGCCTCGGTCCCAGGACAAGGGAGGGATCAGAGCTCAGCCGGTGCAGGGAGGGGCGGTGTCCCCGGGGAGGGCGGTGCCGGTGCTGTGGCTCGAGCAGCCGTCCCGCCCAGAACGTTTATAAGCCCGGAGCGCCGGGCGGCGGCAGCTGAGAGGTGAGCAGCTGCTCGGGTGACAGCTTGGGATCCGGAGCCTGTACCGAGCCCGTTCCGTTCCGTTCCGTTCGCGAGCCGCAGACGCCGTCGGAGGTGAGGGAACCGCGGCCACCGGGACGCACCGGGCCGGGCTGGGCGCGGAGCCGGGAGCCCGCGGATGAGTGTCCGCGTGTGTGTGTGTGTGCTGTGCCCACGGGTGACGGACGTGCGTGAGGCTTGGATCTGCCCGTGGAACGGGCTGTGCCGGAGACCCGGGGGGGGGGGGAGAGGGACGCGAGTACGCGGGACCCGTGCCACGGCCCTTTCCCTGGAAAGCCGGGGCGCGGCGGGCGCGGGGGGCGCGAGGGGCGCGGGGTGGGGAAGCCGCTGTCCGCGCCGGGCCGCCGGCGGGAGCGCCCAGCGCAGCAGGTTCTTTGGACCCGCTCCCGGCGGCTCTCGGACCCATCCCCGCCCCGCCCCGCCGCTGAGGTCGGGTGCCGTGGGGTCCGCCGCCCGCCCGGGCACTGAGGTCGCGCGGGCTGAGTCCCCAGCTCTTGGCTATAGGTCGGGGCATGTCCCTTAGGGCCAGCGGGGAGGGGACTCGCGGGGACCAGGGGACTCCGGGGGCTTGGGGGGAGGGGCAAAGGACAGGGTGTTCTGTACCCAGAAGTCCCGGCCTCGCCCCTCGCGGGCCCGCCCGCCAGCACAGTGACCCATTTGGCTGGACGTGTTCCCGGGGACTCCGGAGGTCCAGCCCGGGCGTCCGGGCCCCGCCCCACGCCCCGGAGCCCGGCCCCGCGCCCAGATTCCCGGCCCCACGTCCCGGAGCCCGGTCCCGGAGCCACGGCCCCGCGCCCCGGAGCCCGGCCCCGCGCCCAGATTCCCGGCTCCACGTCCCGGAGCCCCGCCCCGGAGCCACGGCCCCGCGCCCCGGAGCCACGGCCCCGCGCCCCGGAGCCCGGCCCCACGTACCGGAGCCCGGCTCCGCGCCCAGAGCCCCGGTCCCACGTCCTGGAGCCCGGCCCCGCGTCCCGGAGCCCGGCCCCGCGCCCAGAGCCCCGGCCCCGCGTCCCGGAGCCCGGCCCCGCGCGCCCAGAGCCCCGGCCCCGGGCGTTGGCTCGCTGCGGCCAGTCCATCGGGAAGCGCTGGAGCCCACGCACCTCTCCCCCCGCCGCCCGGCCCGGCCCGGCCTGGGCTGCCCTCCGGGGCGGGGGGACCCCGGCCGGCCTGCCCTCCGGGGCGGGGGGGGGGGCGGCCGGCCTGTCCTCGAGGGCGGGGGCTGCGGGCGGAGCGGGCTCTGCACCGCGGCCTGGGTGTGCGGGGTCGCCCGGTGGGACGCGGGTGGGGTCGAAACTCGGAGGGCGAGGCTTTGCGGGGCGCCGCGTCAAGGGCTTGGGGCGCCCCTCCGGAGGCCACGGGCTGAGCCGCCGCTCGCCCCGCGTCCAGGTGGGGCACCGCCCTCCTGGGGAAGAATCCTGGCACCGGGCTTGGCACCGCAGGCGCCCGGCAGCGCCCTCCCGCCCTCCCCGCCCTCCGGGTCGCGTTTCGGGGCGGACTTTCGGGCTGTTGTGTTTTCTTCGCCCCGGCTATTTTTATTCCAGGGGCTGACTCAGCCCGCCCTGGGCGTGGAGACACGGTGGGGGGCCAGACCCCTGCGCCCTGCGCGCGCGCTGCGTGTGAATGTGTGTATGTATGTGTGTGCGTGTGTGTATGTGTGTGTATGTGCGCGCGCTGCGTGTGACTGTGTGTGTATGTGTATGTGAGTGTGTGTGCGCGTGTGTATGTCTGTGCGTGCTGTGTGTGTGTATGTGAATGTGTGTGTGTATGTCTGTGCGTGCTGTGTGTGTGAGTGACAGATGGCGCCAGAGCGTGCGGTTTCCCAACAGCCGGTGTTTGGGAAGCCGGGCTGGGTCAGCGTGACGTGTTCGGCCCCCCCCCCCCTCGCGTCCCCCCCCTCCACTCCCCCAGTGGCGCGGCCGCAGTGGAGCGGGTTTTGGCGGCGGGAGCGGGAGCAGGAAACTGACTCACGGCGCCTCCCTCCGCCCCCAGCGCCGAGGCTCGGCCCACGCACCGCCCCCCGCGCGTGATTTCCTGGAGGCCAGCGCCCCCTTCTGGCCCCGCCGCGAACGGCACACGTTTCCCGCCTTTCCTCCCGCGGCCCCGCCGGGCTCCTCAAAGGAGGCCCCTCCACCCCTCCAACGGCCCCTGAAAAGCACCCCATTGGCTCGGCAGGGCTTACCCGGTGCTCACTGTTTACTCGGGAATTAAAACTGGTTGAAGCCTAAAGCACAAAGGCCAGCAAAGAAGGCTACCTGTTACCCGATTCTTGTTTGTAAAACCAGGGTTTGTGTTTGTGAGTTTCTCTGGGCTGGGAGTTAGGATAAGGGGCCCCTCGCTGAGCCAGAGGGCAGGAGTGGTAGGAGGAGAGAGGTCGCTGCCTGGATTAGGGTCCCGTCCTCCTCCCAGAAGCCAAAGAGCATCAGCTTCCTGAGGAGCCCGGCTGGTGCCCCCCGCACTGAGGCCCAGGGTGTCCATGTCAGGTCCCCGTGTGTCCCCTCCGTGTGCTCTCTGGGACTGCCTAAGACTTGCTTAAATCCCCTTCAATTTGAATTAAGTACGTCTGGGGAGGGAGAGGCATGGGTCTACATTTTGATCAAGCTCCCCAAGTGATTCCAACCAGCCTTTCTGAAACCTTGAAATTAGTGAGGGAGTGGAGTTCAACATCAGAGCAGGCACTCAGGGTAAATAGGCATGGGTTCAAATCCTGGCTGTGTTACCGGTGAGCTGTGTGACCTTAGGAAGGTTACTTAACTTCTCTGAGCCTTGGTTACCTCTTCTGTGAAAAATAACTAATATGCCCACATTTTAGGAAAAGTTAGTATTTGGAAACGTCTTAGAACAGCCCTGGCATGTAAAACTATACAGATAGATTTCAGTCCTTGCCCTGCAGACAGCGGGCAAAGGCTATTGGAAGGCTCTGCGCTGTGAATCGCCTCTCTGGGGCGGCGGCCTTTGACTGTTTTTAGCTGCATGGTTTGGGGGCAAGTGTCCTGTCTCCTCTGCCCTTTCAGCTCGGTCTGAGGTCACCCAGGGCGCCCCTCCCCTCTCAGCTGAGATGTGGGTGCGCTCACGCGAGGGGCGGAATGGGGAGCAGTCGGTGTGTCATGGGTCCAGGTTCCTGCCCCAGGAGATCCCTCAGCACAGCGTTTGCCTCCAGAGCCTGCAAATCAGGACTTGTCCCCAGGAAAACCCGGTCCCTGCCAATTCCGTGCAGCCCTCAGCCCTGGAGTCAGGCCAGAGCGGGGCAGGCAGGGAGACCGGTGCTCCCTGGAGTGGGAGGAAGGAGCCGGGAGACCTGCCGCCTCTAATTTTCTGTGCCTGCAGAACGGGTTCCTTGGAGGCAAACAGCATGGGGCAGGGGCTTCAAGGCAGTCTAGACTGCAGTTACCACGGCCTGGCAGGATGTGGCTCAGCCGGGAGAAATCGGCTCTGCCATGCCCTGCCGGCTCCTCCTTAGCCCCAGGCCACTCGCTGATGACACCCCTGTGAAAGGCCCAGCCGACAGCACCTGTCAGCTGCTGTCTGGGTGGAGGCTCAGCCAGAACTGAAGGCAGAAACAATAACACGTCTGTTTTCCAAGCGCTTCTGTGTCCCAGGTGCTGCTCTAAGCACATTCTCTCCGCCGCAGTTCCTCCTCACACCTGTCCTCGGAGATGTTACTGTCAGTGTCTCCCTTTTACAGGGGAGGAAAATAGGGCCCAGAGAAGTTAAGCCACTTGTCCAGGGTCAACTAGCAGAGCCTGGATTCCCACTCAGGCAGTCCTGTGCCAAGGCCCTCGCTCTTAACCACGAGAGACAGCCTGCCAGCTCTCTGCCACCCGCCTTGCCTAGAAAGACTCCCGGGCACTTGCTTGATGGTGCTTCAACCAACGGCCATCCTCTTTAAACTCCCATGGACCCATTTCACAGTTGAGGAGACTGAGGCCCAGAAACATTAAGTGACTTTTTTTTTTTTTTTTTTTTTTTTTTTTTTTTTTTTTAAAGCTTAGATAGTAAGCAGCAAAGGTAGGCCCAGATCCCAGGCATTTTTCTCCAAAAGTCCTTTTAAGTGTGAGAGCAGGGTTGTCCTGCAGGGGCCCCTGGGAAGGGGTTTAGGAGGCTGGAGGAGCTGTGCCAGCCTGTCCATTCACTGAGAACTGACTTCCTGGCCAAGGCTGGGACACTGGACTCGAAATTCACACGTACTTGGGGCATTCACACCCGTGAGGGACACCTTAGGGGGAAAGTAAATTGATTTTAGCTGATAACACCGGGTGGTAAACAGGCCCTTGGTCCCTGCCATTGCAATAGCCTTTGTGGACATAAGCGTGCCCTTTAGCTGCCCGCTCTCCCGGTCACCCTGGGGTGCCATGCTGGCCACCCTGCCCCCACCCAGTGTCTGTTGGTGAGAAGGAGGTGGTGGGAAAGCAGCTGGGTGGAGCCGCAGACTCCTCCCACCTCCTGTCCTGATAGGAGGGCCGCCCCCAGCACAGCACGCCTGGTACGGGGGCCCGTTTCCCGAGTGACCAGGCGACCCTTTTGTCTCAGCTGCAGGCACCATGTCGGAGCCGTCCCGGGACGCCCGCCCGATCCCCCGCGGCAGCAAGGCCTGCCGCCGCCTGTTCGGCCCGGTGGACAGCGAGCAGCTCCAGCGAGACTGCGACGCCCTGATGGCCAGCTGCGTGCAGGAGGCCTGCGACCGATGGAACTTCGACTTTGTCACCGAGACACCGCTGGATGGCGACTTCGCCTGGGAGCGGGTGTGGAGCCTGGACCTGCCCAAGCTCTACCTGTCCTCGGGGCCGCGGCGGGCCCAGGACGGCCTGGGGAGAAGCAAGCGGTGCAGCAGCTCCCCGGCCGTGCTGCAGGGGGCCGCGCAGGAGGACCACGTGGACCTGTCGCTGTCCTGCACCCTGGTGCCTCGCTCCCCCGGGCAGCCCGAGGAGTCCCCGGGCGGGCCCAGCACGTCCCAGGGCCGCAAACGCCGGCAGACCAGCATGACAGGTGAGGACCGAGGTGGGGGGTGACACTGCGAGGGACCACGGCTTAGCATCCGTGGTGCCAGGGCTGGCCTTTCTGGTTCAGCGTGCTCCTCATGAGGGGAAATGGGCTCAGAGAAGGCAAGGACCTTCCCTGAGGTCACACAGCCAGGGCCAGCTACCCCTTATTTGGAACACTTATTGAATGCTAGCCCTTCACTGAATTTCTAAGGTGGGTTTCATTTAGTCCGTGTGACATTCCTGCCACCCTTTCACAGGCAGGGAAAAGCGTTCAGAGAGGTGAGTTTGCAATGCAGAGGAAACTGATGATAGTAATTTCCTGGCCGCTCCGTCCAGACTAAACTTCCCTTCCCTCTTCACACACACACTTCCTGTCCCTCTACTTTTTACTGCCAATAGCCATATCTTTATCTTGATATTGTCCGTCTTTCCGACTGGGACATTATCTCCATGAGAATTGCATCTACGTCTCTTTGGTTCACGCCTGGATCCCTAGCACCTAGAATGGTATTGGGCACAGAGCAGGTGCGTGATAAAGAATGAATGAGCCACGTTTACATTAAGCACTCACCAGGCCAGGCCTAGACCAACGCCTTTATAGAGAGCATTTCATTTAATCCTTAGGACAGCATACCGGCGTTACCCACATTCACCGGTGAGGACACTGAGGCTCAGTGAGATGCAGCCAAGAATCCCACAGCAGCCCTGGCTGGTTTGGCTCAGTGGATAGAGCGTCGGCCTGTGGACTGAAAGGTCCCAGGTTCGATTCCGGTCAGGGGCATGTACCTTGGTTTTGGGCACAACCCCAGTGAGAGGTACGCAGGAGGTAGCTGATCAATGTTTCTCTCTCATCGATGTTTCTCTCCCTCTCCCTTCCTCTCTGTAAAAAATCAATGAAATATGTTTTAGAAAAAGAAGCCCACAGCCACTCTGCAGCTGGGTGGGCATTAACAGTAAGAACAGGAACTCTAGCTAACATTCCGTGCCCAGGCGCTGTGCAGGGCCTCCTGAGTGACCTGAAGGTCAGCGTGGAGCAGGCTGCCCAGAGCTCGGTGCACATGCAGCGCACCGGCCACCTAGCGCTGTGTGACTGAGGAAGGGGACTTTTGTTTTATTTTCTTTTAGTTCATTTAAATAACCACCTAGGACCGACGGGTGGCCAGGGTTTTGGGCGGCTTGGGTTAGAGCAGGCCCAAGGATGTGGGCTCCATTGTCAGTCACGTCTGGGAAGCGGGCTGCTGGGTAAAAGCCCGGCGGGGATGGGGGTACGAGGAAGGGGTGCGGGGTGGGGGGGGAGTTCTTCCCTGTACTTGGCAGCGTGGGAGAGGTCGCGGCCCTGCAGTTGGCCTGGCTGGTGGCTTCCAGGGGCCTCTCTCTCCTGGCCTGGCTGACCTCTGCTCTCTCTCTCTCCCCGTAGATTTTTATCTCTCCAAACGCCGGCTGATCTTCTACCAGAGGAAGTCCTAACCGCCCACGGGAAGCCTCTCGCTCCTGGAAGCCTCCCGGGGGCCCGCTCTCCACCCTGCTCCTTAGCCCTCAGTGTGTGTGTTAATTATTATGTCTGTTTTAATTTAAACTCCTCCTCATGTACATAGCCTGATGGCCACCACTCTCCACCCCGCCCGCTGCTGGCATTAGAATTATTTAAAGAAAACAGACAGTGGAATGATAGGCCTATTCAATTGCCAGGTATTTTTATTATGCAAACTATTATTTAAAACTCCCTCCTCCCACACTTACTATTTCTCTTCTCCCGGAGGTGAGGTGGGCCTGGCCGGCCTGACCCTCATCTGCTGGGTGGTGCTCAGAGGGGCCTGGCTCCCTCCCTCTGTCCCTGCTTCCCGGGTGGTATGAAATCCTGCCCCTTCACCCTCAGACCCAGGTCCTGCCCCTGGGAGGAGTAGAGAGTTCGCACTTTGAAGGAGCCCAGCAGCGTGGGGGGCGTCACACACACTTTGGGGTCCCCTCGCCGCCTCTGAGGGTGGGCAGGGTGACCTTGAAGTGGGCCCCGCTGGAACAGGGGTGGGGACTGGCACTCTCCTGTCCTGTGAGGGGGAGGCAAGATCCCGTAGCAAAGCCTCTGCCTCCCTCATGCCCCTTCCTGCCCAGGTGCCCTGATTTCCCAGCCCAACTCCCCCTCCCCCCAATCCTCCCCCAACCCTGGGCAGCTGCGCTGGGGTGCCCGTCCCCCCAACTCAGAGGACTGAGGGCAGGGTCTACCTCAGGCAGCTGGAGCAGTGGGCGCCCCTCTCTCAGCCCGGGGGTAGGGTCCGGGTGGTGGTCTCTCTGAGAGGGATGTGCGGGTGAGGGAAGCAGATTTCTAGGAGGGAGTGACACCAGCCCCTGGAACTCATCCAAGGGTCTCCCCCCTGCCCCACCCTCCCATTCCCTGCACTTTGAATAGCAGCGGAGCAAGGACCCAGGCGTTTGCCATGGTGGGAGGGAGGCCGTGGACCAGCCTCACAGCGGGCTGACCACGGGCCTGGGAGCTGTGTTATCTTTCCTGGTGCTGACACTGAGCCCCAGAGGCACCGAAGCACTTAGTGGGTCTGCCCACCCCGCCCAGCCCCTGTAACACGCTGTCCTGGACTGTGTTCCCCTGGTCCCGTCTCTACCACACTGTACACCTCTCCCGGGCTGGGGCCACGTCCTGTATTGCTCCGTGTCCCTCACAGTCCCCCCCCCCCCAAGTGCTGGATATACAGCAGGTGCTCAATAAATATTTTTTGTTTTTACTTGTAAAAATATCTTGTTATTTTTAAGAATAAGTAGGCAGAGGTGGTGTGTTTTTTTAAATTTTATTTTTTGGTTGTTTTTATCATTTAAAAATTAAGCACTTAAATTTTAAAAACACAAAAAGCTTAGCAAAAGAAGGAGTATCAGGCAGAAAACAGACAAACAAGAGCAACATATAAAAAATAAGCCATCACACCTCTGCAGAGATTGCCATTGTCAATATTTTGGTTTGCTGTGTGATCTTTTCTAGTAAAGAACACATTGTAGCTTCACATCATTACTCGTTGGGAAAATGCAAATAAAACCACAACAAGACACCACTAGACACCCACTGGGATGACTAAGATGAAAAAGGCTGACTATGCCACATGCTGACAAGTGGCCTGGCCAGTGTGGCTCAGTGGTTGAGGGTCGACCATGAACCAGGAGGTTTGATCCCCAGTAAGGGCAGTGCAGGAGGTAGCCGATCAATGGTTCTCATTATTTATGTGTCTCTCTAGCCCTCTCCCTTTCTGAAATCAATAAAAACGTGATTTTTGAAAAGCAGAATGTGCTGTTTGTATACCTTGCTGGTGGAAATATATTTCAACTACATTGGGAAACTGGCAATATCTTGAACAGATGCCTCCCCTCCTGCCTGACCTCATGACCCAGGAATTGTAATCCTATGTTTGTTCTCAAGAAAAATGAGCACGGATTTCCACCAAAAGATACGGTCATGGCAACATTCTTAACAGACGCCAACTGGAAACAACCTAAATGCTCATAACAGGAGAGTAGCTGTGTCAGTTGTGTATCTTTCTATAGTGGAATACTATACAACATTTAAAAAAAATCAAAGTATTTTTGCACGCGTGCTCTGATTATCTATATACTAGTGACCTGGGGCCCGGATTTGTGCATGTTGAAAGGATATTAATTAGAAGGTGGCCTGCAGGGTGGGGACTGGGCAAAATGGGCTGGACACGCCCTGGAGCCAACCTCCTACAGTCCCTCCCTGGTGTCTGTGGAGGGAGCGGGGTCCCTCTGGCGGGTGGGGTCCCTTGGCTGGACTGTGGGTATTGGGCTGAAACCAGCTCTCCGACAACCCAGAGTGCAAGAGGGCACTCTGCAAAAATGCTGTTGTACAGGGCGTGGAATGCAAAAGCAAGTGTGCAGTAAACCAGATTCAAGGCCAACAGTGCCCCAGCAACAACATAACCCACAGCTGAAGATGAAATCATGCAACCCCACAAGGAATCAAGCTCCCTCTCTGGTTTCGGGGTGCATCACCCGAGAACTGCCGCTGCTAAGTCACTGCAGCTCAGCAGCTCCTGCGTTGAGCATCAGCTCCCTGGTGGTCAGTGCGTGTCATAGAGACTGGTCGGATGGTAGGAGGGACACTTAGTGTGTGTGTGTGTGTGTGTGTGTGTGTATGGCTAATATGCAAAATGTCCCCTCGGGAGTTCAACTGAGAGACCAGGAGTTTGGTCGCTTGCTATGTCATGCACCAGGGGGTGACATGCAACGAAGGAAAGGCCCTGGCAGGCAGCCAGAAGGCCCTGATCGCCCACTAGGCCTAGGGACCCTACCTGTGCATGATTTCATGCACTGGGCCTCTAGTCTGTTCATAATTAACCATCCCAGGACTTAGTGGCTTAAAACAATAATCATTAATTTGCTCCTGAATTTGCAATTTGGCCAAGAACTGCTCTTCAAATGTTGGGTCAATCTCTGCACGCCTTTGCTCCTGACCCCGGGGTCCGAGATGAGGCTCTCCGCTGGGCTTCCCAGAGACCCGGCACTGCCAACTTGTCTCCCATGGATCCTTCTCGAACTGTGGGTTATGCTGGGCCATGCTTCCCGATGCTTGTCCCAGAACACAGACCCATCACAGAGTCCTCTTTCCCTCTGGGCTCCACTCAAACATGGCAGCTTCCCAAGCCACTCAATACACGGCTGCAGCATTAACGCACGCCTCCCAACCCAACATGGCCTCTTTTTAGTGGTAGGACGTCCCCAACATAATAAGGTGTTCTTTCCCATAGGAGGAACACCTCAGCATGCCCCCGTTCACTGACCACTTAAACCTAACTGGTGTGATAGTCTTTCCTGATGTAAATTGAAAAGAATGCAATGGCTGTATTATCAGCTTCTTATCGTCAGAGGCTGGGCAGACTGTTCCAGTAAAGGTACGGTATGTGACATATTGGCTGCAATTAGAGCTACCACCTGGTAGCCATCAATCACCACATTTCACTTGGTTGTTATGGGAGCAGCACAGGGTGGGCTGAGTGGGGATACGCTGAGGCCACCCTGCACCTTTGAGAGTAGGACTGATGGCCACAGCTCCACGTGGAATGTTTAGTGTTGCTTTGGATATACTATCTTGACTAGTGGGACAATTTTAGAGACTCCTAATTGGTTCTTTCCATAATGGCTTTTATTTTATAGACTAGAGGCCCATGGCATGAAGTTCGTGCAATAGGCCTTCCTTCCCTTAGCTGCTGGCACTGTTTTTTCTCCGGCACCTGGGACCCAGGCTTTCGCTCTGGCCTCTGCCTTCAGTCTTCGCTCTGGCTGGAGCACCACTTCTGTAGCTCCTTCCACCCCTCTAACCTCCCCCTCATAGTAGGTGTCCTGCCCCACCTGGCTGCTTCACACCTGCATGCATACTGCCCAGAGGCCCAGAGTGGCTGGGAGGCAGGGCCATCTTTGCTGGGTTAATTTGCATACTCACTCCTGATTGGCTGCTGGGTGTCACAAAGTGATGGTCAATTTGCATATTGTTCTTTTATTAGTGTAGATTAGGGAAGCAGTGTGAGGTTCTCCCAGCTGCTAACTCTATCCATCCCACTTTAGGGGCTAGTAAGTAACCAAGACCCAGAGGGCTCTGAAGTGAATCCGGCAGGACTGCCTATGCCCTTTATTCTTAAAGGAGGGGCGAATGGTATTTTGGGCCAGGCGGAACCAGTGACAGCTCAGACTCTATCCCATAGACTCAAAAGATCTGGCTTCTCCCTTCCCACACTGTACAGCTATTCTGGTAAGTAACCAGAGGGCACCTTGTGGCGAGAGCTGAGGAGATATTTATTTTATACACTTTGAGGGGCATCATGGGTCTTTTTCTTTAAGCAGTGGGTCTGGTGAAACCGGGTGAAAGGTGGTCACTTTTCATCAGAGCGGCTGGCATCCACCTCTGCTCCCCACCCCCTTGATCCAGTGTGGCTGAGTCAAGCAACATCCACACTGAATGCTCATCTCCCTTACCCTGGGGACACCGCTGCCACGGGGCCCAGCCTGCCTCTGGTGAGCCAGTGGCCCACGTGGCTCTGCTCCTGCAGGATCGTGGCGCCTCCGCCAACTGCATCTCCCCAGCCAGCACCGAGTCCTTCTCACCAGTGCACCTCTGCTGCTTCGGGGAGGGAGGGTCTTCTGGGCGGTAAGCGGGGGAGACGGTGAGCTGGTGGGTTCTCATGCAGGGAGTCCATTCTCTCTCCTTTCCTCTCTGAGCCTCCTTCCCCCCACCCCCTTGGTGTCTTCAAGGCAGTTTTGGCATTCACCCCTCATTGGCTGTTGGCCGGACACTGCCTAAGCTTTAAGGACCAACTCAGCAGTGTGTTAGGACCAGCTCCTGGGGCGCTTGGCTGGGTGTTCAATCCTGAGTCAAAAGAGAGAGAGGCAAAAAAAAAAAAAAAAAAAAAAAGCCAAAACTAGTTTGGCTCAATAGATAGAGCGTCGGCTTAGGGACT